TTGTATTTTTAAGGGAAAAAAAAATTTTCCTGCAAATTTGTGGGAAATCAATTTGGTAGTTTGTGAGAAAATTTGTCATAAGCGAGCAGTGTAAACTCTACAATTTTCCTGAACAAGAAAAAACAAAGAAGTAGCATGGTCGAAGCTCAATCAATCCCCTTCTACTGCTTCCTAGACGAAGAAGATCTCTATTCCCAACTCCGTTTGTGAGAGGCAGCAGGCTCAGCCACTGGCTCCACAGTTGGTCCTGCATCATCATCCTTTGAAGCCGCTGATGGTCCCTCATCATCATAAGGGATCTCTTATATAACATCAATTAGGGTACCAAGACCCAAGAAAACAAGTCTCTCAAGGGTAGTTAAACTCCTAATAGGTCTGGGTCCTCCTTTAGCAGCCCTCTCAATCCTAACCTGTCCAACTCAGCACAAGGGAGGCCTTGAACAAGCTAGAGTCATTTAAGGCAAAAAGGGCAAGAGTTTACAATGAAAACAATAACAAAACTTACTTGTATTAGATGGACGACACCAGATCAAAGGAACCCAAGGACCAACTTCTATAGCCCCTTCAAACTCCTAACTATCTCTAGAGACATAGAAGAATCTATCTTCCTAGCTAGGGGAAGGGTGTAGGAATTTAGAGACGAGCTCAGACATGTCATTTCTTCAAATAAACTGGTAGAACTCGTGATCGTCGAGGGCCAAGCAGAAGATGTTGATAAACTAAACCACCGTAGGAGAATGATGTAGCCCGGTCATACGCCAAACAACCATCACTCCAACAAGAATACCCCTTATGAAGGGATTACTCCACAGGTTGAAGTAATGGAGAACGACCCTTATGAAGAGAGAAAGGGGAAACTAGAGACTAGTCTCAAAGGCATGCTCAAAGAAGCAAGCTCAAGAAGAAACGACATTACAAGGGGAGTCAGGTCTGGGGATACGAACCCGAATCCCAACAGGGAAGCCGTAACATTTTGAATGGCTAGTAGGTTGACTATCGTCATAACACTAGGAACCAATAGATTAGCCTAGGCCAGTTCCATGAAAAATTCAACACGTCTCCTAAAGATTTTGTTTTGACATTGAGCATCCATGAGAAAGATGAAAGTACAAAAATGTAGACAAAATATTTGAGGAAGACAGTGTAAAATGCAGAGTTCCAAATTAACTTAAATAGTGGGTGCTCATATTTTCCTTAAATGGGTTTAAATGCAGCATACCTACCTTAGGATGTCCAATGTTCAAAGTATTGTGGAGATGAAATGACATCAATCATTCCTTTTGGTGGTATGGCAGTTAAGGCAAAGTGTAACTATCACTCATATGTCATTTCAAACATCATGAGGAAGACACGAGTTTGCCTCCCCCACCAACTTGGGCTCATTGGTAAATCTGACCCAAATCAGATCTAAAAAAAAAAATGGGTCTCAAATATGGCATGGGTCAGCCATGAGTCCATTCAAAGACAAGTCTAAAGGGTATTGAGGCAAGAAGGAGGTAAAAATCAAAACAAAGTTTTCATTAAGATATTTGAAGGATTGCAAAAAAAAAAAAAATCAGGCAATCCCTTTAGGGGGTAAAGAAAAAGTTGTGGTATTAACTTTTGAAGAACCAACAATTGTCTCAGTCGTTTCCTTAGCAACATCAAGAAGATCCTTGGCACAAGTCAAAGCCAGATCCTCCCTCGTCTATGTTGGAGGCAAACTGCTTACCTCCTCGCCATCACCCACTTTCTTGTCATCAACAGCTACGGGAGCCACATCTTCGCTAGGATTGAAAGAAGAAAAACTCAGATCAAGGAACCTCTTTTGGACCCATATCCTAAATTCCTCAAACTCATCTATGTAATACTCCAACATCTTCTCTTTGAACTCTAGGGAGTATTGATACGTAGATAAAGCCAGTGCTTCAACTGCCTTTAGCTCAAGCTCCTTCTATTTAGAAGATGCAAAAAGCTCTAAGACCTTTTGGGTAAGGGTCTCCTTTTCGCCCTCCAGGTCCTTGCTTCTCACAAAAAGCTCAAAAATCTCCACCATAACCCCATTTAGCCTAGCCAGTAGCTCACTATTGTACTTTGAGACTTTGTCTCTATCCTTCTTAATAGAGAAAAGTCTGTCGAAGCTTTCTTAGTAGTCTCCTTGAAGTAGAGAGCATCCCTACGAACAGAGTCTAGTTCCTCCTCCTTAGCTTTTAGTTGAGAGCGAAAAGACTGAATTTCCTCCTTATAGGACTTCTTCTTACTAGGAGTAGAGTAAGAGAGGCTATGACAAACTAAAAAAGGGAGGAAGAGATTAAAAACAAAAGAGGAACAAGCAAACTCAAAGAATTCAAAGGTCTACCTTTCCAATAGTAAGGGCCAGGTTTTTGGTTACCTAGGATGACCCCAGGTCAAAAGCAGCTTGCACCATGTCCTTATGAACAAACTGGTGAAATCAGACCATTGCCTTCTCCACATTGTCCCACATGGACTGAGGATCAGCTGCTGGGATCATCAAAAGAGATGGTATGGTGTGAGACTTCTCCTCAACAACTCCCAAAACTGCACCCTTTCCTTTGTCTGTCAGAAAAGTAAGGGGAGCTTCCACTTGAGGGAGAGACTTAGCTAGCCCAGTACTAGAAACTTGAAGGGTGGCATCCTATGGGGTGATGGCAACGAATAGATAAGAGTTTGGAAAGGTATTGGACCTCAGAGACACCCTCTTCACTCGAGGGAAAAACATCCTTGATTTCTTGCGAGAAAAATGGTTGGTTTCAGATGCCCTCCTGGCTACAACTACCTAGAAGGACTTCTTGTCAATGATCTTTGGGGTCATAGCTGGAGAGTTGCAAAAGTTAGGGCATGTCTGAAACTAGGACAAATTGCAGAAAGAAATATATATACCTTTTGGAAGAGAGGTTGTTGTAGGCAGAACAGCGGGGCCACTTGAAGTAGGCCTCAGTAGACACTCAAAGAGAGCTTGATCACTCACAAGCTCAAAGAGGTCCTTTGTGAGATAGTCGAGTGCCTGTTTAATCCATACCCTCAACTAAGAGGATAGGGGATGTGATATTTGCGCTTTAAAAAGGATAAATGCAAAAACCTAAAGACAATACACGAAATTACTGATAGGGAACGCACTTACTAGAAAGAGGGGTAGGAGTCCCCCAAATGCGAAGAACCCAAAAGGAGCTGCCAAAAGGAGCCTCAGAGGGTCCATTCCCAACTGGGACTGGAAACAAAGAAAAACTTGTATTTTCACTCCTTCACATTCAAGGAGTAACCTGTCAATAGGGTTGAACCTTCTCTTTTTGAGAAGTAGAACCATCCTAAGCCTTGCCTAGAATAAAGGGTGAGCTTGTAGCACTATGTGAGCTTGGCAAACATTGGCTACATGCCAACACCATTCACCTTAACACAGATGACCCCCATACCAATCAAAAAGCCCTAAATGTTAGGGGTCAGCTAGGCAGGAATAATATTTAGAAGGTAAAGGGTTTCCCTAAGATTTAAAAGGAAAAGGGTTTCCCTAATGTATTTAGGGATAGGAAAATAGAGTCCAACTTCGAGAATAAACTCTAGAAGCCAGCCTCATTGGAGAAAAATGCATTAGCAGTCTCGTCAATGGAAGGGACTCACAAACGCATAGAGTTAAGGATTGAATATTAAACCCTTAGCTCTTAAAGATAGCTCTCATCCAGCTAGTTGTAATAATTCTTAGCCCACTGATTCTTAGAGTCGATGACCCAATTTCCTAGATAGATTCAGAATCCTCATTTGCCGCATTGGCTTGGGCTACGAATACCAGAACACTCTTAGAAGGGGATTGATTAGAGTCGATCGCCATAATCGGGAAGCTATGGTGGTTGATATATAAATTCAAGGAGAGAAAGCGATTAAGTCTATTAACAACTAAAGAAAGGCAAAACTAGAGCATAGACGCAAGTCGAGCACTAATAGATTCACTCACAAAAAATCCTAAAGATTCAAGGCTAGAGTTCCTCCACCTCAAAAAGCAAAAATGGTAAAACTTAAAATTGGAATACATGGCTCTGATCTATGCACTCCAGAGTGAAGAATCATGGTGAAGTAGGAGAGCAAAAAGCAATTAGAGAAAAGAGGTAAAGGTGTACCAAAATTCCAATAGTTCTCGAAGACAGCCAGAGAAGAAGAAAATGGACTTTTATATATATTGGGCCCAAATAGATTCTTTGGCGGTTACGTGCATGAAGCAAACGATTCCACTTCTACGTAACAGACAAGTGTAATTAATACATAGAGTATGTTTTCCACTGGTCTGAACTAGGGGCAACTGATGTAGATAGAATTAGCCCTAAAGCGAGCATGTGAGTGGCCGGGCACGTGATTGAGATAGCCATGAGGCAAGCATGTCAGTCAGAGGACATAATCTGGTGTGATATCTTCCTCCAGAATCCAAACAGCATATCACCTTACTCGCCCATAACCCACAATAATAGTTCAAACCAATTCCAACATTCTAAGATGAAGGTTCCACTGTCCTTGATGTCCCATTCAAAAATAGTAATAAGTGTTCAGCTTATAAAGGAAACGAGCTAGCTACGAACCACCCCGAGTCTTCGCTGGGAATCCCCCTTTATTCCGGGCACCAAGCGTAATCCCTTTAGTACTAAAGGCTCCATCCCACATGACTAAGTGTGAGTGTCGAATCATAAGAATCTTAGTGCACAATTGTTGGATTATACGAAAAAGCATATTGGTCTGTTAGGTGGTGTTATGCTAAAGGCTCAAGTGATTTATTAGACTCGGTACAAAACGGATATCGAGAATTCCGAAAAACTCCTGTGTTATGGAAATTTTTTGTTATACCTTCACCATTTATACGGATGAGTGCCATATTGGCCAATTATCTTAATCAAATTGACAAAACTGTTTCCATGCTGTTTACTCATCATGCACCATGTGCATTATATACAAAAAGAATTTTTTTTTAAAAAAATTTATAAACTTTACAAAGAGTACATATAATACAACAGGTTGAGTGGCAAAATGTGTAATACAGAAACAAAATATCCAACTCGAATAGAATTTCCACATCCATCAGCTAAGCGTTAGTGTTGACATTACGCGAAATAAAAGTAGAAATTGTTGTACCAATAGTACATGAAAAACCTCAATTTCCTGCTTCTGTGGTTCATTTACCTTATATTTTGTAGGAATATCTTATTCCTTGGATCTTGATATACAATTGCACTCAAAAGTTGCATTGCCATAGTGAGGCAATTGCAAATTATTGATGTTTTCGTAATCCATTTTTTTTCATCATCACAAATATGTACATTCCGAGAGATGTCGGGGGGTTTGTTACATCACAAGACATACCTTTGAGCATATTTACAAATAATTACATCACTTCTTCTTTTTGTCCTCCTTATCTCTTTCAAGAACAACAGGGGCTGCCGGAATGCTGAACCACCACTCTCTTATTCTCCTTGTCCATCTTTCCGTGCTTGCCCTTCTAAGAGGTGAGTACTTTGTAAATGCCTCCAAAAATACCAATAGGGTTAGGTATTTACTGGGCAAGAAGGCCATAATGAATGCCACAAAAAAAGAGAACCTACGAATTTCTCACTTGCCTGAAATAAGACACACAAGTATAAGAATAAACCTAGATTAATTTACTTGTAAAGTCAGAGCTAAAATTTAAGATTCCGTATGAGGGTATATTAAGAGATTCAACAACAATTTAGTAAAGATGCTGGATAGAAAAAAAGCATCCCTTTAGCATCTGTAAAGAAGCAAATTTCTATGAATTAAACAAGGTTGCAGCTCCAAGGCTACTCTCATATTCATTAGGTGACTAGTGCCTACTAATGACAACAGACATAACCTTTTGCCAAGGTGATGGGAGGCAGAAGCAGGTTGTAACTCCGATTATGCTCTTTGGTAGAATGCAACTTACCTCATTGTGGTTTGCCTGAGTTGCACATGACCCACTTGTTTTTGCACATTACCCCAGTGCTTTTAGACTAAAGTGCAACTTTCAAGTTTTTCACTGAAGTTAAATGCCAAATGCCTATAAGACAAATTTTCAGTCAAGTAAACAAATATAAAGTGATGCAAATACCCTCCTACACATTTTATTTTCCTTTCACTTCCTCTTTTCTCCTTTGCTCTCTCCTTCAACATACCACCCACCATACCAAGAGCCCCCCCCCCCCCCCCCCCCCCCCCCCCCCCCAAAAAAAAAATAAAAAAAGAAGAAAAGAAAAAGAAAAAGTAAAAAACATCTGTACCTTCCAGTACATCTTCATTTTCCTTCAAACTTAACACTCTGACAAACAATTCTCTCACTCCAATAAACCACCAATTTTACACTTAAAAGCTTTAAACTCATACTTCTCAACTTACACCCATCACCATCAGAAAACCACCACCGCACCAACCACTCCATCAGCTGAAAAACTTGTGGGCACATGCATGAGCATGCACACACTCAGATGAGCCATCAACAAACACATGCACACACACATAAGGGGCAAATGTGAGTTCTGCATATACATATAGAAGGGAAACTGACAAAAAAATAAAGTTAAATATGCATACTCCCTCTACACCAAAATCTGGTATCCTTTTCAGGATCCCAATGTTTTAAGGAAGAGAATGATATTGACATTGCAATATCTACTATTGAAACTCCAATTATGCAAAAAAATTTAACTTCTCTGAGTGCTAGAAGTCTTTTTTGAAGTGTCAATTTCATTGTCCCCTTGAGGAATAATGCTAAGGGTTTAAATTATGGCAAAGAAAACCAAGTAATAATGGATGGGTTTTAAGTTATATTAGGAAAACCTTCACTTTCTAACACTACCCTCCCTTTGACTTTGAAATTTCATTTTTTGAACCATCTTACAAACTTGAAATCAGGGTATATAGAGAATGTCGTATGAAAATATACTTTGACTTTTGAATTAGATTCTAATTTGGCGGCATATAAAAAGGGCAAGTGGAATCTAAATTGGGAATGAGGACGTATGCATATATCTACATATAGATGAATATGTTTGTGAGGTCGTGAGATGATTTCCATGGCCAGTGTTTCAGAAAGAGGAGAGAGAGAGTAGATGCAAAAAATGATAAATTTAGAGGCAACTTCAAATGTCTTTTCACACTGCACCATTAAACATCATGTGTTTCTAGTCCATGGCCATAGACGGTTATGTGCTTAGTTTCAAGCTGGGGGGTTATGTGTGGCTCCAGGAAACCACAAGATGGTAACCTTCATTTTACATTATGAATCACCAATACAAATATGGATATGAATACAAATATATTACGGTACAAAAGCAACCATACGACAAAACCTAAAAAAAGTAAAGATTACAACTAGGATATATACACATTAAATAATATCTCTATACTCCTATCCTTATGGTATATCAATAAAGTAAATGTGGGTAATTAAAGGAACTATAACCAGCGTTTCACTAGCTGGTTTATTTGTTGCCAAGAAATAGGGTGTAATCGATCAATTTGTCTTTCTATCATATGGTGTATAAGCATTCAGTGAAAAACAAAGACACGATTGATGTATTCTTCTTAGACGCCTACATCCAAGAAGTATCCAGAATAAACAAATATAGTATTACAATCAGTCTTTGAAAGAGAAGGCTTGAGGAGCCTTCCCTAAAAATTCTCATTATCTGAACTCCTAAATTCAAAAATTATCTGCTCTAATCATCACATTTGTGGAATAATGAACTTGGACTCTTCCTACCCCTACACTCCTACGTTTGTGGGCAACAACCAACAAATAGTTCTTATGTCATTTTGAAAACTTAACACCCACTCCTCTATGTTACCTAACCATCTCATACTGCTCAAGATTATGAGAATATAGGTAAGACAGAAATTCCTTGTATCGCATGAGGCCATGGCTTGTTATTAATTATTGGCTGCATATTCTCAAGTATCGTGTGTATCCTCCCCAATACATATTCAAGACGGCTACTTAGAACTAAATCGAGTATCCGTGCTTAAGAGATTATATATCATTCCTTCTTTTTTCCAACCTTCTTAGCTCTAAAGATAACAAAAATTATCTATTCCGTGATGTGATGCACCATATCCAAATTGATGTTGAGCTTTAACTCAAATTTTTGCCAGTTATTAAAATATAATGTTCTTTGCTGGCCATCACCAGCCCACCAAAGAGAGAAAATTTGCAAGCCAGAAAGGACCGAAGTAAAAAGGACCTGTGGAAAAATTGACAACAGTAAGGCGCGCAGCTTGAGAAGAACAATATTTCCATCCTGGATTAGCTCTTCAGCTTGAGAGATGGCATTCTGTACAGCCAAAAGCTGCTCCATTGTGTTCATTGCCGGAGGTACTGCTACCTTGAGTTCATCAACAGGTCTGCCTTGGCTAAAACACCGTGTGAGAACAACAAAGACTGCTAAGAAGATGAGCATTAACGCAAAGGCATAGCCCAACCATCCCCTACAAAAGAATTTTTTATAATTGTTGGTCAGCAAAAGTACTGTCCAAATTAAAACAGGATCCAATTAATGATGTTTTATAGTTACTTGAAGAAAAGGATATAACATTAAATGTAAATAATCCAAGCACAGGCAAAAACTGAACCAGCAAAAGGGAGGAACAAGAAAAGGGCCAAAAAGCATGTGGTTAGCCATCACTAAGCCAACCACTCATGTACAATATACCCTTTCCGCTCCATCAAGTCAGTGCAGGGAGGTATTAGAGTGCAAAAAATCTGATAAATTCGGAAAACTTGAATTCTGGTCTAAAAATACAGCTACATGACCTGCAAAGTGGCATGGGGGTGAGATGTGTAGCCTTTGCCAATACCCATAATGAAACCCTTAGGGCCCCCAATCCTTGACCATAATCTTAGAGTTGAAATAGTAAATATAATATTTGGGTTCAAAAGAAGGAGGAAGAGAGACATAGAAGAGGCAAACAAGAAAAGCATAATCAGTTGTATAGGTTAGGTTGCCCTACACTCTTATTTATAACTGAATAATATTTAAGTAATTACAATATTGTCCTACACTAATTAACTTATGTCTAATAAGAACTCTAACTCCCCCTCAACCAGAAGTATACAGTTAAAAAATATCCAACTTGGAACATAAACAACTTAAAGCAAACAAAGTCAATGACTTGATAAGAATGTCACCCAACTAATCACCAGCTTTGATATATAGAGTGTTAATCTCTTTTTGCATCAAGAGATCTCGAATGAAATAGTAATTCACCTCAATGTGTTTGGTACACCCATGAAATATGGGATTAGTTGCGACGAAAATAGTTGTTTGGTTGTCACAGACTCACAATACATCTTCATAGGGAAAGACACATCCAGTCCCATATCATGAAGCAAAGAATGAACCTATAACATCTCACAATGTGTCATACCATGATACTCAGCCTCCGTACACAAGGAAGCATGGATACTTCTCGGATGGTACCGTGACAGTGTTGGACACTTAATAGTAAACTTAGTCAGATATGGTTAGTACACAACAAGGATACGACCAAAAATCTTTTTAAAAAAAAAACGACTATTAACTATTAAAAGGAGTGTACTTTCTATTTTTTTAATATACTTTTGTTATATAACTTATATACTATGAATGTTAATAGATGTAATGATGTTTGATGAAAATAATAGATATTTATTTTGATCTATTTCAATTTAATCAAAAAATTAATATTTAATAGGTATTATTATTAATTTTGTTATCCTACATGCTTTATTTTTAAATATTATAAATTTATTATTAACTAAAAATATATTACAATAGTCGTATTATTGTCGTACCTATATCCTATATTTTCAAATTTCGCCGCATGCCCGTGTCTATATCCATACTTCCTAGTTGACACAAAAATAAGCAACCATGTTCTACTTTTTACTATGTGAAGTAACAAGATTATCACCAACAAATGTACAATAGCCAAAAGTAAATCGTCTATCATCATAACTAATTGCTCAATTAAAATCAAAAAAACTATCAAAGTTATGGATAATGATGGATGATATAATAACACTTTCCTCAGAGCTCTTTTTAGATATTAAAGTATGCGGCAGCCAGCCACCCAATGAGGCTTATGAGGACTCATGCATGAACTGACTAAGCACACCAACCGTATATGTAACATTGTGGCGTGTAGTTGTAAAAATAGTTGTTAGTATCGTACGATACGTATCGTACGCTACATACGATACAAAGGTAAACTGATACGAATCGTAATTTTGTATTATTTTTGCGTTGTATCGTCCGATACACGATATATTTTTACGATACGGTACGAACGATAAACGCATATGCTGTTTAATTTTTTTTTGCTGGAACGACGTCATTTTATGTTAGAGGCTGATTTTTTTATCCCTATAGCCACTGAAACAACGTCGTTTCAGTGGCTAGGGTTTATTAAAAAAAAAAAAAATTTCTCTTCTTCGTGATCGTCTCTCTCCATTCTTCGTTTCGTCTTCACTGGCTTCTGAGTGTTCTTCCTGACGACGAAAACACAGTAGCCCGAGTCTCTCTTTTCTCTGTTCTTCACAGCGATGAACCCTAGCCCCTCTCTCTATTCTCTCTATTCCTGAAGACAACAAAACTCAGTGTGTCTAAGCCCATTGTGCTTCAAGATGATGAGCCCAATCTCCACATTCTTCATCGAAGACAAAGCTCTGTTCCTCTCAGTGTGTCTAAGCCTGCTATTTCTCTTCTCTCTGTTCTTCATCAACGAAGGCAGCAAACCCTAAGAAACCATCGAAGCAGCCAAGCTAGTCGCAGCCTCTAATCTAGATCTGCACCTGCAACTGTCTTATTCTTTCTTCTCCAGCACTTCAGTGAAACCTGTACAGTGTAAGAAATGATGTTAATTTATTTACAAAACCAAATATTTTTTTGTGTCAAAATTTCTTAATCTTAATTCTTGATTAATGTTAATTTCTTGAAGCAGTAGCATCACCAGCATCCTATTTCAATATGAAAATAACTAAAAAACTTGCTAATGATCCCACATGGGAACATTGTGAAAAAGTAGAAGGATCAAGGTTGAAATTGAAATGCATTCATTGTGCAAATATCTATTCGGGAGGCATTTCAAGAATGAAAAATCATTTGACAGGTATTCGTAAAGATGTAGCATCACGTAAGCATTGTCCTAAGGAAGTAATTAAATTTTTTAAGTAATTGTTGGATGATAAGGCTTCTAGCAAAGATATGAGTCTTGTGGATTTGAAAACCTTCAAAAGTAGTAATGGTAATGTGGGTAGTAGTACTGATAAAATACAACCAACCACTACCATTACTTTGAATACCATGTTGAAGAAAAAGGGTAGGTAAGATATATACTTGAATATTTGTAGATGTTTTTATGCTAATGCCCTTCCTTTTAATTTTGTAAAGGATCCATAGTTTGTAAGAATGTTAGAATCTGTTGCATCGTTTGGCAAGGGATTGAAACCTCCATCGTATCATGAGGTGAGATGTTCTTTTTTGAAAAAAGAAACAGATATGATTAATGGTGGGTTAATAGAAAATTATAAAGCAAAGTGGAGAAAGACGGGTTGTACTCTTATGTCTGATGGATGGACGGATGGGAAACATCGCTCTATCACTAATTTTTTAGTGAATAGTCCAAGAGGAAGTGTGTTTCATAAAAGTATTGATACTTCAGGCATTTGTAAGAATACAGATAATCTTTTTCAGCTTTTAGATTCAATGGTAGAAGAGATTGGTGATGACAATGTTGTTCAAATTGTGACTGATAGTGCATCGACTTACATAAAAGCTAAGGAGTTGTTAATGGTAAAGACAAAAAAGTTGTTTTGGTCTCCTTGCGCTACACATTGCCTAGATCTTATTTTGACGGATATTAGAGACCTTCCTCTACACAAGGATATAATAGTAAAGGCAAGGAAAATCACAACTTACATCTATAGACATTCTTGGGTGTTAAATCTTATGAGGAAGTATACAAAGAATAGGGATTTGGTGAGAGCATGTGTGACCAGATTTGCCACCTCGTATTTAACTTTGAGGAGTTTATTTGAAAATAAAATTAGGCTTAGAGCAATGTTTGCTTCTGAAGAATGGCAGAAAAGTCAATACTCTAAGAAGGGAGATGGTGTAAAAGCAGTGTTTTAAAACCCGGCCCGGCGGGTCAATCCGGTGAACCGGTCCCCTAACCGGGCCGGGTTTAATAAAAAATCGTTTATGTAAGAAACCCGTTATAAACTCGTTAAATCGGTCAAAAATCGATAAACCGTGAGAACCAGACGGTTTTAGCAAACCGGCTGGTTTAATGTCATTTCTATAAATATGAGATTTTTTTTCAATCATTTGGGCATTTGAGTGTTTCCCCTTTTGATTTGCCCTAAATCGTTCCAGTCTTCCAGACCAATGAGCACAGCCTCCACTCCGGCATCAACAGCACCAACGACTAATCAGCCTCCACCACGAATGACTGGCCAGCCTCCAGTGACCCAATCCAGTGAGTTTCCCTCTCTCTCTCCCCCCTTTTTCTCAGTCTCTGTTGCGTAAAAACTTTTTCCCGTCCATTATCACCTTATCTAGAACTTGTCCTTGCGTTTCTTGTTAAAAATTCTTCTTAGTAATCATCCTTGGGATGCTCTTCATTCCCACAAACTGCTATGGATGTTGATGTGTGATTTATATATATGTTCAGTCCAGAAAGTAAATAAGAGATACATAAACTGGGTTATATTTGTTCTTCTACATCTGTGATGTATATTTTGCTATATCTGTTCAGTCCAGAAAGCAATAAAAAATCACCTTATAGATAGATCCCAGGAATGTGAAGGAAAATTAGGGTCCAGTATCAGACCCCAATCGCATCACAGTTCAGCTATCAGCCTACTGCTTTGGATTGAATACATTAAGATTGGATATATTGAAATTGGATATATGTTTGATGATTTTTCTCTATTTAATTTTACATGATGTTATTTTTATAATTATTGTATTTTAGCTTATTTATTATTATTTATAATTATTTTTTAATTTTTTATTATATTACCGGTCCGACCACTAACCCAACGATTGAACCAGTGACCCATTGACCAAGTCCCTTCACCGGGTTGATGTCCGGGCCGGATTTGAAAACTATGTGTAAAAGTTATGGATATTATACTAGCTGACCAAAATTTTTTGGGATTAATCAAGTATTGCTTGAAGTGTGTGTTGCCATTGGTGAAGGTGTTGAGGTTTGTAGATGGGGATATAAAGCCTGCCATTGAGTTTATTTACAAGGCAATGGACAAGGCAAATGAACAAATCCAAAAAAAAATTCATAATGTGAAGAAGCACTATGAGCCCATATGGACTATTGTTGACACTAGATGGAACTTGCAATTACACAAACCTCTTCATGCAGCTGCCTATTATCTCAATCCAGTGTAAGATTTAAGGTTCTCAATTTGTATATCAATTCATATCTATATGTTGGATACTGATCATTATAAATCAAAATAAGTATTTCAGCTTTCATTACTTTAACAGTAGTGCAGACTATGAGATAAAGAAGAGACTTTATCAGATTATTCTGAAAATGTGTCCAAGTCTTGTTGTTAGAGAAAAAGTTGATAAACAATTAGATATCTTTCACAATGCTGATATGATGTTTGGAATGGACATTACAATCCAGATGAGAAAGAAGAAACAACCTGGTTAGTGGTAACTAACTTAAGTTAGTCATTTAATGTAATTGCTTAAGTTAGTTAATTTAGTATTCTTTTGTAATTTTTTATAGCCTTATAGTGGGAATCATTTGGAGGATGTTGTCCAGAGGTGCAACAACTTGTTATCCGCGTCCTTAGCTTCACTTGTAGTGCCACAGGATGTGAGAGGAATTGGAGTACATTTGACCACGTACACTCTAAGAGGAGGAATCAATTAGAACAACAAAGATTAAGTGCAGTTGTGTTTGTGAAGTATGATCTTCGATTGGAGGCAAGGCACCAAAAGAGAATACTAGTGAGTGATTCCTATGATCCTATTTCTCTCTCAGATATGGAATCTAACGATTAGTGGATCACTGAAAAAGAAGATACACTCTTTCCTAAGGACACTACTTGGATGAATGTTGGTTAATATTTTGAGGTTCAAAAAGGGAATAGCAAAAAGAGAGATAAATAGTATATAATTAAATGTTTCTTCTTCTCTATTACTTTGAATATTTTTTTTTATACTCCCTCCGTTCCTAAATATTTGTCGTTTTACACAATTTTTTTTATTCCATAATATCTGTCATTTAATGAAACCAAAGCATAATTAATATTTTTTCTTCTAAATTTACCCTCAACTTTTCAATGCATTAGATTAGGTAGAGACTAAGTGTCTTTCATATTCCTTTCCTTCTCAATACGTATTGAATAAGGGTATTTTAGTTTTGTGTAATTATTTTTTACTTATATTACAACTATTTAATAGCTTCCTTAATCCCTCTGCAAAAACCTTAAACGACAGATATTTAAGAACGGAGGGAGTATTTTATATTGGTTGTTTTGTAAGGCCTAGAAATCTTTCTTTAAACAAAAAAAAAAAGAGAAGCAAATAGTTCAACTTAAAGATGAGGATAAGATGAACAAAATACAAGAAGTTGAAGATGATGA